AAAGAAAGAAAGAAAGAAAGAAAGAAAGAAAGAAAGAAAGAAAGAAAAGAAAAGAAAAGAAAGGGAATGTGGTAAGGTTTACAGAAGAGAGACCATTTGAGACCCCAGCACTCCTAAAAGGAAAACAATCAGGTTGACGAGAGCAAGGACTGGTCTCTTCACTTAAAATTAAACAGGTGTCCAATGGATCAGCAGCCCTGGTGTTATCTAAACAGGTCAGGTTCTCAATTCGCTCAGCTTCCCCAGAGCACCTCTCTCTCTTCCTTCTCCACTGACCTTCTGTGCTTCGGCCCCAGTGACGGCCACTATCCTCCGGATGCCCTTCGCTATGGCTTCTTCCGACACAATGACGAAGTGTCCGGCGTGACTCGAGTTCTGCAAATGCCTGTAAAAAACATGGCAAGTTCAGCCCCAAAGGTGCTTTTTTCCCCCAGGACTTTCTTGTTTTTCCTTCTTTAAAGACATTTCACTTCTCATCCAAGAAGCTTCTTCGGCTCTTGACAGGACGGTGGGGAAGGGAAGGATTTATATTCCTTGCAGACAGCAGGTCATCTGCATCCTTTTAGAGTAGGGGTGTCAAACTCGGTTTCATTGAGGGCTGCATCAGGGTTGCTTGACCTCGGGAGGCCAGGGTGGGCATGGCCAGCTCAACGTCACTCGTGTTGGGGAGAGGGGCTGTGATGGCCCAAGCACTCTGCCAGAGAAAACAGGCTCCTGAGCTCTGTTTTCGCCTGCAACGGGCTCCTGCAACCCTCTGCCAACTAAAATGGAGCTCTGTTTTTGCTAGCAGAGGCACCACGGGCCAGTCCTTCGTTGCTGCAAGGGCGGCCCTGCGGAGCAGTTCTAAGCATCCCGTGGGCCGCATCCGGCCGTGTTTGACACCCCTGTTTTAGAAAGTCGTTGAAGCACTTGGGGGTTTATCTGTATCCTCAGGGTCACCTGAGTTGGTGCTCCTGGTTCCTGGAGTCTGCAATTTTTCCTCTGGAAATCCATTCCTACTGCCACACCAGAGGGGGTATTCAGCAGGTTCTGACCAGTTCTGGAGAACCGGTAGCGGAAATGTTGAGTAGTTCGGAGAACCAGAAAATCCCACCTCTGACTGGCCCCGCCCCCATCTAGTCTCCGCCTCCCGAGTCCCAGCTGATTGGCTGGGTCTTCCTTGGTTGCCCTGCGCAGGAGAACGGAGCTGGAAAGCAGGTTAGTGGGGTGGACAGGGGATGGGGATTTTGCAGTATCCTTCCTCTGCCACGCCCACCGAGCCAGGCCCACAGAACCGGTAGTAAAAGTTTTCGAATCCCACCACTGACTGTCCCACACCATTCAGGTTGCCTCCTGAAAAAAACACCTTGGGATAACCATGACCTGGATGACTGAGAATCACTGCAGGTGGCAAGTTCAGAGGCTGACGGCGAGTTTTTAATACCTCTCGTCTCAGCAACTGCATCAATGTCTGGATTTGAAGTCCTAATTTGCTAGGTAATGCATGATTTGTAGTTTTGGTTTCCCGATGCAGGTCTTCCCCTGCCTCCCCTCGCGACCCAGATGTACTCACGTGCCCCCGCAGAATTCGACTGATGTGACGGCACCTGCTGCGCTGGAAGGATCGTTCAGCATGTCCTCAACAGGTATGCCAATGGAGACAACACGTACAGGATCAGGATAAGTCTCATCGAATACGGCTCGGAGGCCTTGGATGGCCTTGGCATCTGCCAGCGGACAGTCCTTGGCGTACACAACCTGGGAAATTGATCACAGGGACACCGAAGATTAGCAGTGTCAGAGTGCGGCCAGCTTTACTATGCGAGACAACCCAGGAGCAATAACAGCAAACAGAGGTTTGTAATAAAAAGTGGTTTTATCTGCAAAAGAATATATACTATACATACATATGCTATAGGGAGAGGTCAAACAAGCAGCAGTTACAGCAGGGAAGAGCACATAGCGCGTGAGAGAGAAATACGACCTAACAGGGCCTCTTCTTATTATACAGGCTCTTAAAGGGATAACAGCCAAAAATCTTGCTGACTCATTCCCATCATTACATCATTGCAGCAGCTGGTCAGCTCTTAAATCACTACCCTGACAAATAAATTCCAGCAGAGGGGATCCAGTTGCTGTACCTAGTGTTTCTTAGTGCAACAATCTCAAGATCATTCTGTTTTTCTGCCAAGGCATAAGGCCCCAGTATAGGCGAGCCAAATTTGGCCCCCTAACTATACCAGAAGATCCCAACCCAAGCTTCAGTTTGATTTCCTTTAGGCAGGTGAGCAGCTTCTTAATCTCAACTCTACATAATCAGGCTGAGACAAGTTAGGATCAGGCCAAAAATCAAGCAGCTGTGTCCATGCAATAAATGGACTTGGTTGGTTTTAATAAATAAAAGAAGGGGGAAAAAATCTAGGTGTTAAGAGCCATGGGGACGCAGTGGTTAGAATGCAGCATTGCAGGCTAATTCTCCTGACTGCCAGCAGTTCGAATCTTACAATAACAGAATTGGAAGGGACCTTGGAGGTCTTCTAGTCCAACCCCCTGCTTAGGCAGGAAACTCTACACCACTTCATACAAATGGTTATCCAATCTCTTCTTAAAAACCTCCAATTTTGGAGCATTTACAACTTCTGGAGGCCACTTGTTCCACTGATTGATTGTTGTAACAGTCAGGAAATTTCTCCTTAGTTCTAAGTTGCTTCTCTCCTTGATTAGTTTCCACCCATTGCTTCTTGTCCTACCCTCAAGTGCTTTGGAGAATAGCTGGACTCCCTCTTCTTTGGGGCAGCCCCTGGGATATTGGAACACTGCTGTCATGTCTCCCCTAGTCCTTCTTTTCATCAAACTAGACAAAATAGAATCTCAGCAGGCTCAAGGTTGACTCAACCTTCCACCCTTTCGAGGCTGGTAAAATGAGGACCTAGATTGTTGGGGGCAATAGGCTGACTCTGTAAACCACTGTAAAAGCACTGAAGCAGTATATAAGTCTATTGCTAAAGCCAGTCGGTAGGGAAAGTAGGGACTGACCTGTCTTCTGTATACCCTGATATGCATCTGGATAGAGAAATCCAGTTGTCTCCAGTTATCCACTTGGGGAAGTAATTATATTCCAAAGGGATTCAACGCAAGGACACTGGCACTCTGTCTCACTTTACCTTGGCTTCTTGAATCATTCCATTAACAATCTCTTCCACTTTCTTGATTTCCTGGGTAGACATGGCTCCCTTGGCGGTGAAGTCAAACCGTAATCGGTCCGGAGCCACCAAGGATCCTCGCTGGTCGGCTTCGCCCAGCACAGAACGTAAAGCGAAGTTGAGGATGTGGGTGGCAGTGTGGTTGCTCATGATGGGCCTTCGCCTTGGCTGAAAGGTAAGAGAGACGTGACTGGAGATGAGAGGATCTGCAAGGGAAGGGAGGATCCAGTCTCATCAAGGATCCAAAAAAGCCAGGATCAATTCTAGACAGCCAGCTGGGGATCATATGTTCTGACCCAAACCTTGTTCCAAGGAAACAAACACCAAACAGAGATAAAAGGAAAACCTTTTAATGCTTCTCTGCAAATTCCGTTCACTCAGGGTTAAAAGGCTATTAAAACTAATTGTCTCTGATAAGAACGAGCCTTGCCAAGGTGGTGCAAGGCTGCCAAAAACACCAGATAAAGTTACTAAGAAATATTCCAAACACAAAGTCTTCAAACACCAACCAAGATAGTCTGAACTTCCACAAGGCTTGAAGTGCAAGACTTTCTTTGCTTCCTGCAAAGAATCCCGGTCTCTCAGGCTGGCTTTTATCCCTTAAGGGAGGAGCCATTACCTTACAGCATTACTCCCAAGTCGCCTGTGCTGTTGCAGCTGCTCTTTCCTTCAAGCAGCCCTGCCTGCACGCGCACTGGGCACAGGCTCCTCGGGGACCTCTTCATCACTGCTGCCAGCCTGCACAATCTCCGAAGGCAGCACTCCACTCCCTGATGGCCCTGGCCCCATCCCTGCATCACACACAGGCCCCTCATCTGAGTCCTTGCTCTCCGAGGCCTCAACCGTCTGCACCTGCTGCTGGCGAACCACAACACCATAAGCGATCTGGGCAATAGGTTAGTGCAGGGGTCTCCAACCCCGGGGTTGCAGCCCATTACTGGGCTGTGAGCTGTCCGGAACCGAGCTGCAGAAGCGGTCGATAAGCATCTCTACTTTATGCGAGCAGCCGGCGAGAGCGTGCATGAGCACTCAATTTTGTTGTGGCCTGTCCAGCAGCTGAATCAGAGGAGGAGGAGGAGGCGGCAGCTTGGGAGTCAGGGTCAGCATCAAAGCAACCCGAGATCTCCAAAAGGGAAGGAAGCTGTCGGAGAGAGAGACAGAGGGGGAACCTGGGCCATCCATCAGCCCTCAGGAGAGTCAACAGTCCCCAGGTCTGGAGGTGACTGATGAAGAAGGAGGAGGAGCAGCTTGGTCCAGTGCCTGACCTGCAGATGCTCAGAAGGCAGAGGAGAGGAGAGCAGTGGAAATCTATGGGCTGGTCCTTGGGATGGAAGAGCCACCGCTGCTAGCGAAGCCCCACCCTAGCTCTGGGATAAAAGGGAGGGGATGAAGATGAATCGGTGTGGCAGAAAACTATTCATCTTCTGGCTGGATGGACTTGTTAGACTGAGTTAAGAGAGAAACTTTTTTTGTCTGGGCTGCTGGTGCTCCTAACAAAGGAATCTCTGGGTTAATTTCAGGGGGTTTGTCGTGTTTGGGGAGCTGAGTCAGAACAAATTTGCACCAGCAATGAGCATGTATGCCTGCCACTCACGCAAAGGGAGATACACATGCACACTTGCTGGCCGCTGGCATGGAACCATACCCTCTCCTGTCCCTCAAAGCTGGAAAGATTGGGAATTCTGGGCAAATGCATCGAATTTTAATCCTGGTGTGACCCATAAGAAAAGGATTAGATGGAAGAACCCAAGTCAAATTTCTTTTACCTTCTTCCCTCCGCGAGCCACTCACCTCATCAATAAACAAGCGCACAAAATCTCCCACCTTGAGGCTCCCATAGACTGTGCCCACGTGGAGCACGTAACCTCCTCGGACTTGTACGTTTTTCACCGTAAATTCCGTCTTCTGCAAAGCAAAGGGCAGAGTCAGCGGACGTGGTTCATCGCATCAACCAAGGAGATTGATAGCAAGACCGATCCCAACGAACGGAGAGCAGGCTAGATCCTAGAACTGGTTCTGATCGTCTCTTCCTAGACCGAAGAGCCGGTTGTGATCCTCCAACTTGCTAGTCAGCAGGCATTAAGGGGGAGGAGGATGGCGCATTTGTCCACCAAGCCCTCTCCATCCTGAAAGGGATGCTGTCAGGATTCCAGCAATCGCTCTAATTAAATCATGATTCTCGAGCCAAACTTCAAAAAACTTCAAAGGATTCATTAGAGGCGACATGCTGGCACTGCCCTGTATGAAGCCAACTCTGGCATTCATAATTTACAGTCACCTCTTACCCTGTTTCCCCCCTCCCCCCCTGGGTGTGTCATCAATCAGATTCCCCAATTAAGGACGTTCAAGGGCTGGGTGTCATCACTCATGTTCTCCAATTAAATATATTCGTGGGCAAAAGCTCTGGTATTTTAGTTACAATCTTTTAAAGATAAGTGTTGGAAGGTACTTTCCCTTTGCTGCACTGCTCTTCCAGATTTCCTTCCTCCTCCCCCCTTTTTCATGGCAACTACTAAAACAGGCAAAGGGACGTTTTATGAGTTGACATCAAGGTTCCCACCAAATCTACTTGGCCAACCTACATCTTCAGCGCCATCGTCTTCTTTAATGAAGTAGCCTTCGTCGTAGATCTGTCCACCCTGCTCAGCATAGAAGCAGGTCTTGTCCAGTACAACCCCACATTCTTGGCCTGTATGGACTTCCTCCACAAAGGTGTTTTCCCGTCGGAGAGCTTTCACCGTGGCCCCAGGGTTACCGAATTCTGTAGGTCAAAACGAAACACCCCCAATAGGGTAAAAAAAAAAAAAGACAGGTGAACTTCGTATCCCATCAGGAAGCAACAAGGACCATGTAAAAGGTGGGCAAGGACAGCCTTGACCCCGGCAGAAGAGACCATTCAGGGCCAGCCTTCCTGAACTCAACGTGTTGGGACACAACCCCCAGAATTTATTGCCTGCGAGTCCCTCCTCATCTGAAGGTGTATGAGATACCTAGGAAAACATGCCGGCCCTGGGACAGGCAGAAGATGCTGCACTAAAGGAACAGCCTGGAACTCACCGTACAAGCCTTCTGGATCCGACCGGTAGTTGTATTTTGGGGAGTCGTCGGTGGGCTCCAGACCTCTCTCACGGAGACTTTCAATAGCATAGATGTCCAACATGATGAGATCTTCATCGCCACCTCCCTTGCCCTGGGACTTCAGCTGGAAATGTAACAAACCTAAGCGTGAAGGCTGTATTAAGGGACTAAGTTGAGGTTTGGTGCTATTATCTTATTCTACTGCACCAAAGGAAGTCGGAAGTCAACACCTTTTCTTCTTCTTTTTCCCTTTTGCCCCCTCCCTTATTTTCCCACTATTTTCTTTTGTATTTTATATTATAAATGAATAAAAAGCCACCTTTTTCCACTTTTTGACTGGTCACTAAACGAATATTTGTAAGTCAAGGACCACCTACCGTGTTTCCCTGAAAATAAGACCGTCTTATATTTTTTTTCCCACCAAAAAAAGGCACCAGGTCTTATTTTGGGGGGGGATGTCATCCACTGATTAACCTCAGTTGTGCATGTCGCCCCCGGTCTCCTTTTCGCTGTCAGAGGAGCTTCTTCTGCGGCTGGCAAGGCTTTCCTGAAGGCCTCTGTAGCCGCTAACAGAGCTCTGGATCAATTCAGAGCTTTGTTCTCAGCTACAGCGGCCTTCAGGAAGCCTGGCCAGCCTTACTGGCTGCAGAAGAAATGGGCTGACAAGACAGGTGTAGGAGTGTGTGAGGCCTGGCTACAACTGCCTAAAGCTAAGTAGTAGGGCAGCTCCACCCCGCAATTCCTACCCTAACTTGGTTTTTACCTGTCCACTCTGAAGTGGGTGGGATTTTAATTAGGGCTTATTTGGGGGGGTAGGGCTTATATTGGGTGCACATGTAAAATCAAGCTAGGACTTACTTTCCAGGATTGGTTGTATTTTCAGGGAAACAGATGCCCTATAAGATTGAGATTTGGGTTGGCCGTAGCACGGCCCTACCTGAGCGGTCTTCTTTTCTTCCTCGAAGGCCTCCATGTCAACTCTTAACCCCTTTTCTTCTGCAATTAGCCCGGTTAGATCCACAGGGAAACCATACGTGTCGTATAGCAGCCAGGCCGTGTCTCCTGGACAGGGACCAGAAAGAAAGAACCAACGGTCAAAGCGCCATGAAAACATCTCGATCTGCAAAAGGAACACTCCTTGTTGAATCATCCTGTCTCATAGCTGAGTTTTCCTTTCTCTTCATGCTCTCTATGCAAGAACCAGTTCGTGCCAGGCATCTTCAAGGTTGATTACCCTGACTGTGGAAAGTTATCAGCCTAAACTCCTCAGCGTTCCCCAAACACCTCAGCGGCACTGCATTCTTTGGATTTGGACTGGTCACAGCGGGAGAGATGGGGAGTGAAGGAAAACAGTTCTGTATTGATGCCCAAGAAACTCAGATTCCACCCGACTTTACTGCCACTAGCATCTTTTAGTAAAAATACCTTTCACTTCAATCAGTCCAGGGTTTTTCTTTCCTAAGGGATCAGACTGGGGCGGGTCTGACAGATTCCTATCCAGCCCTACCGTATGTTCTACCAACCTAATGACCTTTTAAGAGAAGTAAGTTTATCCTGAGAGATGTATGACTTCACATGATCTTCTGAGTTAATAAGTACTATTAATAGGAAGGGTAACATGTTACATACCAGGGATTATTTTATTGTCTCCCAAGCTCTGTATCTTCCTGTCGAGAATGCGGCGTCCTCGGTTGAGTGTCTTCAAGAACTGCACCTCCTCCTCGTTGATAATATCTTTCACCATGTCTGGATCTTTTGTCAGTTCGGGGAAGGCTCCACCCTGAGAGGAACAGGATTCAGTGAAGGAAGGCCATCTCCTCTGCTCAGCCATCCATGCATCACAGAGAAGGGGGAGGAGCAGCCTTCCCTGATGCTTTTTAGTTTAGTTTAATTTACTTTATTGTCACTGCACCTTGTACAACAAAATCAAACTCCATCTTCAGCGCACATCGTGACCATGAAAATAAAACACAAACACACATCCTTCCCATTCCACACGTTGAACCTAAAACCCCCAACACCGCACCGACACTGCACTATACAGCAAAATTCAAAAGAGCTACTGCCCTGGGATAGAAGCTGTTTTTCAGCCTATTTGTCCTTGTTTTTATTATTCTGTACCGTCTGCCACATGGTAACAGTTCAAAAAAAGGGTGCCCAGGATGAGATGGATCTTTGACAATGTTTTGAACTTTCTTAAGGCAACGGGAGCTATAAAGCTCTTCCAAAGAGGGGAGAGGGCAACCAATGATCTTCTGGGCAATGATGCTAACCCTCTGGAGTGCTTTCTAGTTAATGTGGAGACTACAACTCCCAGAATTCCAGTGGCTCTGGATGATTCTATTTTAATTACAGGCCAGGACATTGGGCAGAATCACTCGAGAGCAAAATGCAAGAGTAGGATTACCAGGGACTGAACCACCACATCGACCAGGGTGGCGAAGAATCCCTTGGGAGCATTGAGCTTCTCGTGAGCGTAGCGCACAGCACGTCGGAGGATGCGCCTCAGAACATACCTGCAGTAAGGAACAGGAGGTAAACAAACATCTGTTTTACATTCTGACCAGTCATAATTCTGAAAACATTTGAGACGCAGAGAGAACTGACGAGGAGTGTATTAGGGCAGAGGTCCCCAATCCAGGGGCTACAGTCCAATACTAGGCTGTGGCTCATTCGGAACTGGGCCACGAAAGGCAAAGTGTGTGTGTGTGTGTGTGTGTGTGAGCAGCTCCCTTTGCATAAATGGCAGGAGCTTGACACTTACATGAACCGCTGTTTGTTGTGAGCAGCCATGGCCGCTGGCCACAAAAACGGAGCTTATTCTGTCTTACGATTCACTTGCTGAATATAAAGACAGATAAGAATAACTCTACAAATCCTTCCATGCAAAGTTTCTTTTATTGGATTATATTAGGTATCCTCAAGGCAACTCACAGTTGTGTCGAGATGCATTTAATGTCCAATTCTTTGCACAGTTGAAATCGTAGCGTAAATGATATTAACCTTTCTATCCCATAAATCGTAGAGGTAGGGGGGTAGAGCTGCTACGAGGCTGTGTGTTCAGGCAAAGAGAGAGGGAGCCTCTCCCAACCCAACAAGGGTCAACTTAGTGACCAATCAGGATTACAGATGTGGCCACTAGACATGGACTACATTTCCCAGGATACCTTAACGACATTTACCATGATGCGTTCCCTTAAGGGGACAGCTCACAATTCCTAACTAATTAGCCCAAATCCCATTAACTCTAAACTGTCTGGGCAGCACAGAGCTGTTTGCCCTTCGCTTGCCCCTTGCACGGAACCACCCCTTCTCTCCCTCCCCCACTGGGCTGTCAAGCTGGAAAGGTTGGGGATCACTGCATTAGGGGGAAAAAAACTTCAGTGCCCTTTCAAGGAATTCCCTTTGGTTTTATCCAGGCTTCACCCTGGGGGATTAAGGGGAAGCCTCACCCTCTGCCGGTGTTATCGGGTCTCCCCCCGTCTGAAAGGGCTATGGTGATGGTTCGGGCGTGGTCAGCCAGGACTCGGTAAGCCATATCTATGCCATCGACATCTTCCTCACCAACCTGCCTGGTGTACGGTCGGCAGCCAGTCCCCTACGGGAAAAAAAAGAAACGAAAACGGGAATGCATCGCACGCAGGCCCCTCATCGGAGTCCTCGCTCTCTGAGACCTCAGCCATCCGCACTTGCTGCCGGAGAACCGCAACAAGCAGGGGGTTGGACTAGTAGACCTCCAAGGTCCCTTCCAACTCTGTTATTCTGTTACACTCCATTTTTTCCAAAAGGCTTTCAGGGCAGCCCGAGCTAAGCTGTCCAGAGGCCGAACCATGTATTGACAAACTGACCCACCCTCAACTTGGGGGCCTACCTTCTGAATAGCCTCAAAATAAGGCACAAAAAGATCGGTGTCATAGTTGGACATTTTGTTCTGCAACACGGACACCAGCCGTTCCAGCCCCAATCCAGTGTCGATGCTTTTCTTCGGCAGTGGTTTCAAGGTCCCATCAGCCTCTCTGGCCCAAGAAGAAGAAAATAATATATAATAATAATAATAATAATAATAATAATAATAATAATAATAATAATAGGGGTTAGGAAACATGAGCAGAAGTCCAGTCCTTCCCCTTCATGCAAACCAGAAACTCCAATTTCAAACCATGTATTTAAAAGCGAATTAAAACCAATATAGAGCAATGAAATGCAGGTAGTCCTTGACTTACAACATGGTTCTTTTTGTGACCGCTCGAAGTTACAACAGCACTGAAAAGTGACTTATGACCGTTTTTCACACTTATGACCATTGCAGGATCCCTATGTTCAAGTAATCTTTGAAAGATTATTTTTTTTACCTCTCTTTGGAAGAGCTTTATAGCTCCCACTGCCTTAAGAAAGTTCAAAACATTCTCAAAGATCCATCTCGTCCTGGGAACCCTTTTTTTTTTTAACTATTACCATCTGGCAGACGGTACAGGATAATAATAAAAAAAAGGACAAACAGGCTGAAAAACAGCTTCTATCCCAGGGTAGCAGCCAGTGGTAGTATTCAAATAAAGTTGCCACCGGTTCAGTGGGCGTGGCTTGGCAGCCGCGCTTTGCGCGCATGCACACTTTGCATGCACGCGCCAAACACGCACTTTGCACAGGCGCAGAGGCGTCCTAACTTACCTCCTGCAAGCCTGCACGATGGTGGTCGCTGCAGCAGCTGCCGTGCGGCGCTATTCTGCGCTGCGCAAAGCTGCTGCACTTTGAATTCTGGCCGTAAGAGTATGGGAGCCCGGGCGGGCGGGTGGGCCAACCACAGAGCAGCGAAGAGAACCAGTTCGGTCTCCAGTGCTCATCGCTGCTACCGGCTCTCCAGAACCGGGCAGAACCGGTCAAATACCACCACTGGCAGCAGCTCTGTTGAATTCTACTGTATAGTGCAATGTTAATGCAGTATCAGGGGTTTTCCATTCAACGTATAGAACTGTGATGGCTAACCTTTTTGTTGTTGTGTGTCAAAAGTGCGTATGTAAGCCTGCACCCATAATGCAATGCATGCCCGCACCCCCCGCACATGTGTGCAGGACCCCCCTGTGCTCCCCACGCCCCCTTCTGCATGCGCACGCATCTCCCGCATGCGCCACGCCCTTCGCATATGCGTGGCAGATACCCGAAAATCAGCTGGCTGGCGGGAGGCATGCCCGCATGCGCAGTGGAACTGAGCTGGGGCAACGGCTCTGTGTGCCACTTCTGGCACACATGCCATAGGTTCGCCATCCTGGGTATAGAATGTGAAGGAGGTGTGTTTGTTTATTTTCATAGTCATAATGCACACTGAAGATGGTATTTAATTT